ATGTAATGCAAATTTAATTTAGAAGTTTCAAACCTAAATCTTATTACATGTGTTCATAGTACCCATCCCCTTGAAGAGCACTAAAACTCGATTAGCTCTTCTCCCTTGACGAGTAAATCTCCTTGAGTAATAATAAGGACGCGTGGATCCTCGGCTTCAAAACGATGGCATAACTAATTGACTGATTAATGATACAAATTTTCAGATCATTAATATTCAACGAATTCCTAAGAACTACTCATTGTTGTTGGGGTGCCTTCATGGCTTACCACACTGTAACAAATCCCTTAGAAATGCATTGACATTAGTTTCTAACGATCCACCGTCTGCAATTGCAAGCCGACATATCTGCTGAACTTGTCTGGCTCTCTGCCTCAATTCTCTTCCTTCATCACTACTCAAATCCATAAACGTCTTCAAAATCCCTGCAACTTCATCTCTAGTCACCAAGACGCCTTCTTTAACCCCTTTCTTCACTCTCCACCCTGTCTTCCAGTCCTCCACAATGAGCTTACAGTTCATGGGCTGATCCATAATCAACGGGAAAGCAAGAAAAGGAACGCCAGCGAAGGCACCTTCTCTTGTAGAATTCCACCCACAGTGACTCCAGAACCCTCCTATGGCAGGATGTGACAGTACCCTCAACTGGTCACACCATGAACATACCAGACCCATATTCCCGCAAGTCTCTTTCAGCTTCAAATTCTCTCCGCGTGCTATCCAGAGGAATCGAACCTCGCTTGCTTGCAAACCAGCCACGATTTCTTCAAGCTGAGCAGTTGAAGCAGAGAGAAAACTTCCCTGAGAGACGTACAGAACAGAACCAGAGGGTTGGGTGTCCAGCCACTTCATGTAGCTGGGGTCATTTTGGTCAGTGATGCATGAAGAGGGATTGTGCTTAAGAGAAAGATGAGGTATGGCAGGGCCAATGGTATAAATGGGAATGGGGAAATCAGCTTTCAGGGCATGGATGGCCTGAGATTCAAGCTCGAGAATGGACGGGAATAGCAGATACTGTGCTTTGAGCACCCATTGAAAGGCTTTTGCGATCCAGTGCAGAAGTTTCCGGCTTTGCCAGCTCCCATCGTTCAGTGGGAAATCCGCCAAACGTGTTGGGGGAAGCCCAGGGATGTAATCCACGCGCTCATCACCATTTTCTGTTTTTTTTTTTAATGAAAATAAAGCTCTATTAGAAACAAAGGAAACTGTACAAAATACAAAAACCAAAAAAGAACTCCACCTTTCACCATCTAACCTCCCTTAATTGAGTGGGTTAAAAGTAAAAGGTGCCAAAAGAATTACAGTTATGCAAACAATTTCTAATAATATCAAGACCAAAAAACTAAAATCATTACAAGAGAAATTAAAAGAAACACTCCAATCTCTGAGAATAAGCTGCCTGATGTCCAAAATAAGCTCTTGCAGTGGGTGATCGCAGCGGGATTCCCTAGTAATAAGATTGTAACTATCAACACATGGAATATCTACCTCAATTTTTCTATACCCTCATTCTAGCACCTTTGAAGTCCTTCACGAACAGAACATCACCATTTTCTGTTTAAAGCATGGCAAATATTGAATCAATCTTCTCCAAGTGTGGACACCTCAAGGAAAGTGACTTGGTCATTTTATGTCATGGTTCTGTTTGCCAGTTGCTGAGTCTGATCACTTGATCAGCAAAGTAGTTTATTTCGAATCAAAATTGTTTATTTAACTATCATGTCAATAGTTGTTGAACGTGGCATGAGTGAACTCAGTGATATCAATTTCATCGATATCAATTTACCATACCAGCCATCATTCCAAGTTCCATGTAACATGTCTGGTTTATTAAAATACTTAAAATGTGAGAATCCAAGGGAGTCAAACCAATGTAAATTGCAGGCAAAAAAAAACAAATAAAAATTTTGAACAGGCCGTCTAATAGAAAGCCAGGGATACTTGAACAATAACATGAGTGACGAACACGCGAGATTTTTCTTCTTCTGTTTTTTTTTATTTGACATTGTGGAAGAAATATAAATTTGACCTTAAAAAAATGGTCTGATTTTTCACGTAGACAAGCTTTTTTCTTTCAATCGTTTCTGGCCTAACCATCTTTGACCAGATGAGGTGTATGTGAGGTCAAATGGAAATGGAATAGAATTCTCACCCGACAAATTGGCAGGGTAATGTCCGTTTTGCTCGAAAAGACGGTAATGGTAGAGCACCGAGAAAAACGACGCCGACATGGGGAAAAACGAGGCTACAGGAATATTCCTGCGGTTGCCGACTCCGACTACCCAGAACAAGTAGGTGTCATATATGATGAACGTCGGCGGCGGGTGGAGCCGATCCAGTAGTTGTTCAAACGGAGCCTCCATCCTGGTCATGACGGCATCGAGAAAGCCGACCATGTCGTTTCCGCGACCCCGCTCGGAGGGGATGACATTGGGTATGGTTTTGAGCCGGATGTTGACCGGCTTCGGATCGGACCCTATGAAGCCGTGCCATTCTTGGGTGATGACACAGGTGAAGAGGATGTTGGAGTTCTTGGACAAGAGGAGGTTACAGAGGTGCATCAAGGGGTTGATGTGGCCTCGGCCTGGGTAGGGCACGACCACCACGTGGCCGTCCATCGGCGGGGAAGGATCCATTGAAAGATCCGAATGAAGGAAGGAAGCTGGGAGCGTGGAAATGGAGCAAGTGAAGTAGCGGTGGGCGGGGAGGGAGGAAGGCCAGGCCTAAACGTCTACCTCCCAGAGAAGGATCCCATTTGTGGGGAACAGTGATAATAATTAATGATTTTGAGATCCTTTGTTTTTTTTTGGAACAAAACGTTCTTTTGAGATACTGGAAGCCCGTTTTCATAAAAGGTTTCTTCAATTTTTTAAAGCTGGTTTAAGTTTCTCGCGAATATAAAATGTACTGTTGCTTTAGGTTTCTCCTTAAGTGTTGGGCAGGTCAATTCACATCCAATGTAGTTTGATTAAATACTCCGTTGATGTTATTTATATAACACTTTTAAAAAGTAATTTTTAATTTAAAAAATAAGTTTTTTAAATGTATTATTATTTAAAATTAAAAATAAAAATAAAAATAAAAATATACATTATTTTTATGATATTCAGATAAAAAATAATTTTTCTTAAAATTAGTGAAACAATTAAAAACGCTCTACAATAAAGACAAGTTTTGTCAGTCAATATTGATATAATAAAAGTGAAAATTAAAGGGTACAATAATAACAAGAACTAGATCCTGCTATCTAATAGAAAGGATAATTCCTCAATGCTTAGTGCCTGTTTTGCTTAGCTGTGGATGCCTATATAATCTCATTTAATCTCATGTAAGTGATTATAAAGCTCATTTGTATTGTTTGAATAATTTTTTTTAAATCCTATTTAATCGCGGCTTGAATTCTTTATTGTATATTGAGTAGAAATTACAAAGAAGTGCTTAGTGTCCGTTTGAATTTTAATTAGATAAAATAAATTATAAAAATAATTAATTAAGTAGTAAATTTTAATCATAATTAATTATATTATAATGCAATATGTTTGAATACTATTTTTTTAAAATTAAATTTAACATAATTAAAGATATTTGAATAATTTAATCAAAATAAATTTTAACTATATAAATTACTATATAATTTAATTTTTAAATATCAAATATTAATTTTTTGAGAATATAAAATTTAAATTTTATTAAGAAAATAAAGAGAAGGAAAGAGAGTTTTATTTTACTTTCATTAAATTATGTGTGTTTTTTATAATTTTTTTATTCTTTCTTTGTAATTATTTTCAAGCTTCTTGGTAAGCTTTTTCGCGAACCCTCCAATTCTCAGCTTTGCAAAAAAATTAATTTTTCTAAAGAATAAAATTAATTTTTTAAAAAAGTTTCCGTTTAGATAATTTTATATAAAATTAATTTTTTTAAAAAAAAATTGATTAATGAGCTATCCAACACACGCTTATGCGTTCAAAAAAGCATGGTTAGATTTTTATTAAGTTATATTTGATAATAATTATTATATAAAGTTAAATAATTTTATAAAAATCATATTTTTTGGATAATTATATACCCAAACATGATTTTGATAAATAAAATTCAAACAGAATTAACATTTTCATAATTAATTTTTTTAAAAAAATCCAAACAACAATTATGATTTATCAATATGACTTTTAATTAATATTATTTTTAAAAATTATAATTATTTATAATCTTATTTGTTCAATCTATAATATAATTTGTTCAACTGCAATCAAATCGAGCATTAAAGAGCATTGTCCATATTTTAATAACCAGCCCAATTCCATTGAATTTGGCAAACACAAAATGGTGTTTTTGAAGTTTGCCAGTTGGGCTGTGGCGCAGTGGTAGCCATCATCAATGTTGGCGGCCGTAAGAGCAAGAAAGGTACGTACGCCAACGGAAACACAATCACATCCTTCGAATCTTTCAATCTCATTGCTCGAACACGTCAGTCTCATCATCAATACCGGCGTGCCACGCCATGTTCCTTTACTCTGACCTTTATCATGCAAGGTCGGTGGGGTGTCCTCTAGCGCCATTCATCTCCAGCCACATAATATTTACCCTCTTCTTAAATTATAAAATATTTTAAAATAAAAAATATTTATAATAAATTAATAAATACTTTTATACCCTATAATAAATATAAAATTATTTATTAATAAAAATAGTTTTTAACAAAAAAAATAATTATATTTTAAAAAAATTAATAATATTTTATATTTTTTAATATTTAACTTTAAAAAAATTATTATAAATTTTTTAATTAAGCTATCATTTATGATAACTCTTAATAAAAAATAATATTATAAAATAAATATTATTTAAAAAAAATATTTTGAAAAACCGGCACCAGGCCCAGAGACTGGCCTGACATGCCTAGACGACCGGTTTTCGACAAGAGCCTGCTGCTTCAGTCAATGGATCGTACACATTTCTTTATCTGGAATTATGATTTGGAGCAGTCTAAAAACCTAAAAATTAGTTTTAAAAAATAAAAAAACCTTTAAAATTTATTTTATTTTTTATTTTTTTCATATTCCATGTGCTCTGGGCGCGCCATACACGGTCACACCCAAATAAAAAATCACTTGGCAGTATTCGTAATGTCCCTGACAAAAGCATTGAAATCATTTTGACCAGAGCCACCATCTGCAATTGCACGACGAAACGTGTGCTGAAGCTCTTTGGCTCTTTTCCTCATCTCTCTCCCTTCATAACTTTCCATATCGATAAACTTTTTCAGAAGCCCCGCAACTTCATCTTTTTTCACCACTCTGTTTGCTTGGACGTCGTCCTTCACCCTCCACCCAACCTTCCACCACTCCACTATCATCGCACTGTCTAAGCCCTGGTCCATCATGATTGGCAATGTCAAGATCCCTTCTTTTATTGAATTCCACCCACAATGCGTCCAAAAGCCTCCTATTGCAGGATGTCTTAACACTTTCAACTGCTCACACCATTCCACAACCAACCCCTTCTCACCGCAAATCTCCTTCAACCTAGAAGCCTCCCTTCGTGCTATCCAGAGAAATCGAACCCCGCATTCACGCAAACCAGAAGCAATCTCGTCGACTTGACCCTTTGCAACTGAGAAATGGCTCCCTTGTGAGATGTACAGAACAGAATTTTTGGGTTGGTTGTCTAGCCACTGTAAGTAGCTATGGCTAGCCGTGGTGGTGTCGATGTTCAATTTGGTTTTTTCTCCGGCATCGAAACAAGGTATGGTAGGGCCGATGGTGTAAATGGGCAAAGATAAGTCTGCTTTCAAGACATCGATAGCTTGTGGCTCGAGTTCATACACTGAAGCAAATAAGAGATACTGTGCTTTCGGAGTCCATGTAATGCCTTCCCTTGCTAGTTCCATAAGTCGCCGGGTACGCAGGCTTTCATCGTTGAGAGGAAAATCTGCCAGACGAGATGGTGGAATTCCGGGAATATAATCCACTCGTTTGTCACCATTTTCTGTTCCAAAACAGTTCAAGACAAGCGGATAGATTTTTGAAATTTAGTTTCCTTAACAAAATGATCGTGTGCTCATCAGCTAAGGGGGCAGAAAAAAGATAAATTGTCCTCGCCAGAAAAATTTACGGGGTAATGAGAATTTTGCTCCAGGAGATGGTGGTGGTGGAGCACTGAGAAAATCGACGCCGACATGGTCCAAAACAATGCCAGAGTGACATTCCTTCTATTTCCGACGCCAACTACCCAGAACAAGAGAGAATCGTGCACGATGATCGTGGGCGGCGGCTCTAGCCGATCCAGAAGCTGCTCAAAGGGAGCTTCCATGTTGGTCATAATAGCTTCCATGAAGGTGACTTGGTCGGCTCCGCGAACCAGCTCCGACGGAATTACGTTAGATATGGTGGTGAAGCGTAGATTAGCTGGTGCAGGATTATCGGAGCCGATGAAATGGAGCCATTCTTCGGTGAGGACGAAGGTGACAAGAATATGAGTGTTATTAATGACCAGCAATTTGCAGAAGTTGAGCAAAGAGTTGATGTGGCCCCGAGCCGGATAGGGCATGGCCAGCAAATGACAGGCAACAATTGGTGTAACTTCCATTGAGATTTCTTGTCCACTGGATCTAAAGCTGAGCTAGACTTTAGATGCTTTAAAATGGGAAAATAACACTGCCCCTGTAAGTGAAGCTCGAAACGATCGAGCCGTTCCGGTCCTTATTAATAGTTAACATGTCGATTTTCGAGTCAGCTTCTTTCATTGTCATTGTTCTTCTCCCAAAACATCACTTCCCGGTTTGGTAAAAAATATCATTTCCCGGTGGAAATATGATGTCCAGCCTGATTAGAGTTTTCAAGTTTTGGTTGAAAGTCGTACCACATGGTTGAGTGTTGACTGAATTTTTTTATTGTATGAAAGAATTTTTTTAAATAGAGTTTTCTGCGAATTTCTAATTTTGTTGTTCAAGACATTATTTTTATATAAGCACTTGCAAGTTGCGAAATAATGTTCTGTCTTCAGGAGAAGTTAACTCTTTTAAATAAATATCTATAAATTAATTTTTTAAATTATGTGCATGTACGTTGCAAATCCAAGACGAATAGATTATACGGTACACTTCTCATTTGAGTGAGAACTGCATGGTCAATAACTGTTTATGCCGCAACTCCTAATTCAGTTAATTTCAATCATCCGATCATTTATTTGTTAAAGGTTCAAGAAAAAAATTCTAATACATTTAATTATTTATTTTGTAGTCATACCCGCCTTTCAACTATATAACATCATATAACGATAAAATTCTAAATTGACGAGTTGAGTATACACAATAAGAACTTCAAATATATTTAACTTTTCTGCTTTCTCATTGAATCGACGCCCATGCGGATAACAATTTTTTTAATGCAGTACCTCTTATAATACTTCATTATTGATTTGCATTCATTTATGGATAAAGTTCACAACGATATTTTCTCTGCTGCTTTCCAGTGGCTAATCGGCATTAATGTCACTAGTATAATTTATGTGAATCCAATCCAATATGAATACTAACTAAAAAAGCAAAATTGCATGAGAAGTTAAGAACATAAACAATAGACTGAAATACAAATCTGCATCTCAATCACGACGTGTATGAGTGGGGGAGTGGGCTAAGCTAGCCAGTGGCAGTGGCGTGTATCCAGGTCTCCTAAATCATGTCTTTTACAAAAGCTTCCATATTCATGTCAGAGGAACCACCTTTAGAAATCGCTCCGCGAAACAAGGCCTTGAGTTCTTTTGCTTTCTCTCTGATCTTCTTACCTTCCTCGCTCTCAACCTCCATCACCATCTTAAGCACTTTCAGTATTTCTCCTTTCGTTACAAAATTCTCTGATCTCTCACCACCCACCTTCCACCCATTCTTCCACTCTTCTGCAACATGCCTGCAATTCGAAAACTGATCCAGAAATATTGGAAATCCCAAGATTGGCACGCCAGCAAAGCAAGCTTCCAGAGTTGAATTCCATCCACAATGGCTCCAAAAACCCGCAATAGAAACATGGCACAACACCTTCAACTGGTCACACCATGGCACCACCAGTCCCTTATCCCCACATTTCTCTCTCAGCCACTTAACATCTGAACGACCCACCCACAGAAAACGAATGCCACTGCTTTTCAAAGCTGATGCCAGCTCTTCCATCTGGGGACGAGACATTGAAAGGAAACTACCCATAGAGATGTACAATACTGACGTTTCTGGCTGAGAGTCCAACCACTTTATAATGTGGTCAGAGTTGGCGGTTGATGAATCTCTTGGCGGTTCAAGTTCCATAAAAGGTATAGCAGGGCCTATCGCATAGAGACGAAAGGGGAATATAGCCTTTAGATAATCTATGTGTTCAGCTTCTAACTCTTGGATCGAATTGAGGAGGAGGCAATCGGTTTTGGCTAATCCAGGGATGCAATCCAGGGACATCTTCAAAAAACGGAGATCGCTTTCGTAGAGTAGCTTTCGTAGATCAGTGAGCTGTAAGGAAGAGATCCGCTGGATTTGCTCATCAGCTTGCTCGTCTGTATCACTAACTCGTTATGGATGAAGTCAAAAGCGAAAAATTCCTGAACTATTGTTTGGCTAAACTATTAAACGTCACAGAATGTTATAATTGATAATGACAATAACGCATTAAAAAAAAAAATACATTAACTTAACAAAAACAAGTATGGTGTAGGATGCATTACCCAAAAGATGAACCGACAAACGCCGATCTGGGCCAGGGGCTAACATATCCAGCTGACGGTAGGTTTCGAAGGACGAAGCTGACATCGTCCATAACAGAGCCACCGGAATATTCCTAAGGTTTGCCACAGCGGCTGGCCACACCAAATTAGCATCAGCAACGATAGCTGTAACCGGCGGCTCAAGTTGATTGAGAAGCTGCTCGAACGTAGGTCTCATCACTGTTGCAATGGCCTCGACAAAACCAGGAACATCGTGGGCCGTCTGGCCGTCAGGAGGCATGACGTCGGGGATAGTGGCGACGCGAATAGTATGTGGCTTGGGGTAAGAACGGATGAAGCCGAGCCACTCTTGGGTGACGACGAAGGTGATGATAAGGTCGTCGGGTGTTCTTGAAGAGAGAAATTTGCAGAGGTTGATCATGGGGTTGACAAGGCTTCTGGTGGGGAACGGCAGGGCCACCACATGCCCCTTAACGCAGTCTGCAACTTCCATGGACATGTTCACTGCAACTAATGAAGCTTGGGTATATTTAAATTTGTTGAAATTCTAGATCCTAGGTGATATGTATTCACAGGGGTTAACCAAGAATATCGACGCTCCAGATATAACCACGTCAAAATTTAATCCGAGTTGTCAGTTGGACCCCCTAGAAAAAAAATTTATCTTAGACCTTGAGCCGCCGCTAGCTCATCGTGACAACATCTTTATTTTTTTAATGAGATAATGTAATAGATAATTCTTTAATTGTGGTCAATGTTTTGCTTTGTAAGATTTGTAAATTGGATTACTCTATCTTCAATTTTAACAAAATTTATTATTGTAGGTCGCGACGATCTTCAAAGACGTTTGAGGCATAATTTCACATGGGCGCTTTGCAAATTGACGTGGAAACTGGATATTTTTGAGGTGGTTTACTTCACTATTATTATCATAGTATTGAAACCGGACCGAACTGGTCGGGTCAACCCCGAATCGGTGACTCGATCCCTTGTCCGATCTGAGTTTACTCCTAAACCGATGAGAGGATGAAGCGGTGTAAACCGATCAACCGAGATTCAACCTGATATAACCTGGTAGGTTGACTGGGTTAACCAGGGTTTTTTTTGAAATTTTTTTCATTTTTTATTTTTCAGAGTGTTGAGTTCAAAAATAAGATAACAAAAAAAGAGTGAAATTAAAGTTAAAAAATGAAAAATTAAAGGGAGTGCACGCTAAGTCCAATCTAAATTTTCAGACAGCATTTAATTCGGCCTTTCATCTGTATCTCTCCTCTCTCGCCCTAACTTAATCAGCGTCTCTTCTCTAACTTAGTCTTCGTCTCTTCTCCAAGCTCTAGCTCTATCTCCGTCTCTTCTCCAGCTTTATCTCTATCTCTGCTATCTCTCTCTCTTCTCTAGCTTAGTCTCTGATTCCTTGTCTCTTTTCTAGCTCTATCTCCATCTCTTCTCTAGACTTTTGAGATTGAAGAGTTGTAATTATAATAATAGATATTTAAAGTGTTGTATTTCATTACTGTTAGACTTTTGAGTGGTTGGATTTGGTTGAATATTTTTATAATTAATGTCTTTTTATTTAAATTGTATTACTTTAATCATGACCGATTTGCCACCGGTTCAAACCCCTGTTCAACCCTAATTGAACCATTAACCCGTGACCTGGTGCCATGTCCAATTCAATGATCGATCCGGTTGTATGTATCTTAATTATTGTTGTTATAATTATTTTGCCAACATATTTGGACCCGTTTGGATATCTATTCAAAAAAAATTTTATTATAAAAAAATAATTAATATGCCTGATTCTAAATATAATTGATTATAGTATGTGGTATATAGAGGTCATTTGTTTAAGATTTAAAAATAAATTATTTTTAGGTAATTTATAGATTATAAAAAGAGATTATTTTATAAATATTTTATAAAAAAACAAATATTATTTTATGTTTGGTTACAATAATAAAAAAATAATTATTAATTAGTTATTTTAAAATTTTATGCTATCTTCCTTAATTTTTATTTTATAAAAATAATTTATTATTATATTATTTTAAAATTTGATGATATGTTTTACGTATCCCTTTTATTTAAAATACTCTCTCTCATTTTATATTATATTATTTTTAGAAGCTATTATGAGTAGCTTTTGAAAATAATCAAAAATCTGTTTTTTTATTTTAATTATTTTTAAAAATTTAAACAAACATAATAAAAACTTATAAAATATATTTTTTGAAAAATAAGTTATTTTTTCAAGGAATAAGCTAAAAGAAATAGGTCCATAATTTTTTTATAAAATTGATTAATGAGATTGATTTTAATCAAAATTAAAAAGTATAGTTAAAAAATAAAATTGAACAAAACATAATTGAAAATTACGCAAAAAAAATCATAATTTTGTATAATATGTCCCAAAATCCACGCTGCATGTTAAAATAATAGTTTTGGATTTACAGTTAATTTTGTCCTCTGTAATAAGTTTGAATATTTTTAAAAAAATTGTAATAAGTTTGAATATTTTTAAAAAAATCATAATTTCAAGATTTTAACATGTAATTAAAAATTAAAATGTGCTGACTCTTACTGCTTTTCATTATATCCATGTTCACATATGGATGACATTTTTAATGAAATTTTTTGTTTATAGTTTTTCATTATTAATTTTCACACATTTAATTCAATGATAATTTGAGAATTTTCCTGAGTCTAGTTTTTTTTTTTTACATTGTATATAAGTACTTTTTATTAAAAATAATTCTATTTAAAACACCACCGGGCATTAAATATGAATTAAGAACTTAACAAGTAAAAGACCAGAATACAAACAAGTGAATGAAGTGTATTATCTTTTTGTTCATCTGAAAAAAAACCAATTTTATTAATCACAAAAATTATTACCAACCACGTATATTATCAACGATTCATTTTTTTTAAAAAAATTAATTTTTTAATCCTTTAATTTTTAATTCACTTGTAACTCAGTTTCTCAATTATGATTCACTGTGACTCAATCCTTCAGCTATAACTCGCTTATAACTCAATCCCTCAACTTTTGAATCGCTTACAAATTAGTCTTTGAACTTTTGTTAATTTTTTTATTTTAACTTATATCTCACATCAATGAGCAAGGTGAGGGTATTTTAGAATAATATATGAGCATTTTTTTATCCCTTTTATTTGATAAGAAATTTTTTTAAAAAAATTAAAAAATAAGGACCGAATTATAGGTGAATAAAAAATTGAGGGATTGAGTTGCAGTGAGTTATAGTTGAGGGACTGAATCGCAGCGAATTATAATTGAAGGACTGAGTTATAAATGAGTTAAAAGTTAAAAAATTAAAAAATTATTATTATTATTATTTTTCATACAAGAAATGTGCATGAAGTCGAGGGCCAGGGCTAGAGGCAAATATGATAGGTTTCCTTTTTTTCATTCTTGACACGGCACCCTCCTTCTTAAATGCCCTGATGCAGCAAGATACTTTGGGTTTCAATTCCCTTTCCTTTTAATTTCAGTTTGTAACTTGGGCTGGTTCAACCTTTCGTATCAAAACAAAAATAATAGTAATCTTACCTCCCCTTTTGATCGACGCCCCAAAATATGACCACATCACCCATTTATAGGCAAAATAAACCAGTGTCGTCAAGAGAATCAGTTTTAGTGTTTATCACACATACGGGTACTAGAAACCCGTCGCTGTTTAGATCTAATTCAATAGTTCATATTTACAGCTTTTTACTTAGATTAAAAAATTATTTTAATAAATTCAGAATATAAAATAAAAACAATATCTTAATTGCCAGCTTTTCAAAAAAAAATCATTTAAAAAACATTAGTTAAAAAGCTGTAAATTTAAATAATTTAAATTAAATTTAAATGATCCAAAAGTGATGAGTTTTTAATTCTCATCCGTATGATAAACACTATAACTAATTTCCTCGTCAAGCCCAAAAGAAAAACATCAGAGCCGCGACCCTTCCGATTCGATTAATCCCAAGTTCCCAACCATTCACAGTATCGTCTACCACATAAAAAAAGGTTTAACCTCACAATATGGAATAAATATTTTATAACTAAGTCTATTTTCGAAAAATATATATAGAATTCACAAAAAAAATATTTGAAAATAAAACGCAGAAGAATATTGAACAAGCTCACATTAAATCAAACAATACAATTACAGCCTATAAATGAATAGACATATAAATAATAGTAATATTATAAGAATAAGAAATGAACTTGTGTTCATAAAATTAAGGTTATTAAACTCATAAGTTTCAATAAATTTATGATAAGAATGTAAATTTAAAATATAAACTTAAACTGTAAACTCATAAAAATTTATTTTTATTAATAAATAATCTTTAAAAGTACATAATTAAATAATTAAAATTAAAATGTAAAATATGACTATAGTTTAATTTAAACACATTTCAAATATAAATTATTAAAATTAAATCTACATATATTAATATATTATTATACTCAACATAACAATTTTAAGTAAAACATCTTATTTTTGATATTTTTGTTTTATTTTTTATTAATATTACTTTTTTTTTAGTTTCATTTTTCATTAAATCAAATCTTACTACTTATACGAATCAAATTTTATATAATATATATCTATCTTACTTAATAAATTTATAAAAAAATTGACATAATTTTATAAGTTATAAATATAAAATCAATAAATTCAAAAAGTCAATTCGCTAATTTAATTGAATTTTATTTAATTCAAATTTATAAACAAATTAAAATGAATTTATAAGTTAAAAAATATAAATATAATAAACTCATAAAATGAACTTAAGAGTTTGTCATCATGTAGCTTCTAAGCTTCGTTTATAAATAGAAACATTTTCTTTCAAAAATTTTATATCTAGCTGTTCATATTATTAACGTACATGAATACCAACTAAAAATCGAACTGCATAAGAACCACTGAGACCGAGATACAAAATCTTTGTACGAATCATGTGTCTTATCAATGATTAATTGAGGATACGATACCAGTCTCGGCTTTCCGGGTATGTTCGTCTTGAACATTCCATGATGTCGCGGGTTTTAGACTGCGTATTCGCAGATATAATACATAATTGAGGATACGACACACACACACACACACGAAGTAGTGGGCTAGTAGCATGGCATACATCTTGAACTCCTAATTGCACATACTTCCTTGGACGCCTAAAATGTCTTCCACAAAAGCATCGAGGTTCAAGTCAGAGGAACCACCTTTGGCAATCTCTCGGCGAAACAAGGCCTTCAGTTCTCTGGCCTTGTCTCTTATCTTCTTCCCTTCTTTACTCTCAAGGTCCATCACCATCTTAAGCACTTTCAATATTTCTTCTTTCGTTACAAAGTCTTCTGATCTCTCACCACCCACCTTCCATCCATTCTTCCACACTTCCCCAATATGCCTGCAATTCGAGAACTGATCCAGAAATATTGGAAATCCCAGGATTGGCACACCAGCAAAGCATGCTTCCAGAGTCGAATTCCATCCACCATGGCTCCAAAACCCCGCAACAGAACTGTGGCACAACACCTTTAATTGGTCGCACCATGGCACCACCAGACCCTTATCCCCACATTTCTCTCTTAGCCACTCAGTATCTGAACGACCTACCCAAACAAAACGAATTCCGCTTATTTCCAAAGCTGAAGCAAGTTCTTCCATTTGAGGACGGGACATGGAAAACGAACTACCCACAGAGATGTATAATACTGACAATTTTGGCTGAGAATCTAGCCAGTTTATTATATGGTCAAAGTTAGTGGTTGATGAATCGCTCGGTGGTTCGAGTTCCATAAAAGGTATGGCTGGGCCTATTGGATATAGACGAAAGGGAAGTTTAGCTTTTAGAAAGTTTATCTGTTCAGGTTCTAGCTCTTGGATCGTGTTGAGGAGGAGATAACGAGTCTTGGCTAATCTTGGAATGCAATTCAGGGCAATCTTCAAAAAACTGAGATCGCTTTCAAGAAGCAGCCTCCGTAGATCAGTGAGTTGTGAGGAAGAGAGTCGCGGGATGTGTTCAGCTTGCCCATCTGTATCACTAACTCGTTATCGATGAAGTCAATAGCAGAAGATTCCTAAACCATGCTATTCAGGCAAACAATTAAACGTCACAGAATAGGATAACTGATGATGGCGGCGACGATTTTGGTTTTAAAAATAACAAAAGTCTTAAATTAAGGAAACAAGTGGGGTGCATGATACATAGACATTACCCAAGAGATGAACCGACAAACGCCGGTCGGGGCCAGGGGCCAAGATATCCAGCTGACGGAAGGTTTCGAAGAACGACGCTGACATCGTCCATAACAGAGCTGCCGGAATATTCCTTCGGTTTGCCACAGCAGCTGGCCACGCCAACTCAGCATCAGAGATGATAGCAGTCACCGGCGTCTCAAGTTGATCGAGAAGCTGCTCGAACGGAGGTCTCATGTTGGTGGCGACGGCTTCGGAGAAAGCAGGAACGTCGTCGAGGATCTGGGAGTCCAAGGGAATGACGTTGGGGATGGTGGCGAAGCGAATGGTATGGGGCTTGGGGTAAGATTGGATGAACCCAAGCCACTCCTGGGTGACGACGAAGGTGATGAGAAGGTCCCAGGGTTGCCTGGAAGCGAGAAATTTGCAGAGGTTCATCAAGGGGTTGACATGGCCACTGGTAGGGAAAGGCAAGGCCACCACATGCCTCTTGAAAGACGGCGGAACTTCCATGGACATAATCACGGCTAAAAATGAAGCTTGGGTTTACTTAATCTGCTGTCCTAAATCTCAGGTGAGGGAGAACCAAGGATATGGCCTTTCCTTTTCCACAATGTCGTCGGTGATTGGACAAGTCTTAATGAAGCAGCATTTCTGGATAAAATAAATCCAAGCATACGAACCCCGTGACATAAAAAGTAGGGTAAAATGTCAGAGATAAGCCTAACCTCAACTATAATTTATGGCTCAATTCTGCAATTTAATTTTAAATATTTTTTTATTATTATCTTAACGTTAAAAACAAGTTAATTATAAGTCAGTCGCATTATTTTTAAATATTTTTTATCATATTAATGATTATTTTTACCTCATAATTTTTATTTAAAAAATTATTTTTATCACTCAATTTAAATATTTTATAATAAAAAATATTAAAAATATAATGTGGTAAAAAAAAAGCAAGATGATGAACAATTTAATTTTGTAAAATTGAATAATAAAAGTAATTTATAATTAAGTTTAAAGTTATTGGTGACTTTTTGTGTATAATTTAAAAAAAAAATAATTTTTAATTTTAAATAAAAATATCATGGAAAGATGATATAAAAAATCTCCTTATTTTCAAGGTATCAAGAAACTTTTTGAGATTTTATTATGAAAATACCTTTCTATCCTTCGGCACTTTTTTTCTTTGGGTTAAAAATAGAAACCCCAACACACACAACCATGGGAAACTCGTCGAAGTCATGAATCTGGAGGAGGCTGGCGAATCTTCCATCCAGGACCACCTGCAGATCAATCCCCACCATCATGGAAGATCGTGAAGATATATAGCTCCGTCATTTACTATTTTTCTGATCTCCTTGACATTCCAGATGGCAATATTACACTATAATCACCCCAATAAGACAAGAAGAATCAATTCCACTATCGGGGATCCTCTTGTCTTGTATATTAATTACCTTTTAAAAATATAATTTAATTTATTTTATAAGTTATTAGTTGATGAAATTATTTTATTTTAAATTAAAATTTTTAAACTACTTTTAAAAAGTAAGAAAGAAAAATAAAAAAAATAATATTATATTATTTATTTATTTTTTGTTTTTTATTTGAGAGTTATATTTAAAATTTTATTTGTTTTTATTTCTTATATTTTTATTATATTAATATTGATAAAATTAATAAAAATGATTTATAAATAAAATTGAAGGAGTAATTTAAAATCTTTTTTTCGCTAGTTCAGGTGGAAATGGAAGAAGCAGTTGCCACGGTGGCTTACACATTCTTGAAAATTCAAGTACTTTAACTTGCCCAATTAAGTCGAAATTAATTAAAAACCTAAGAGACAAATGAACACGATTTTTTTCGCACATGAATAATCCTGATATTGATTCATGCGAATCCAGACCTCGGAGATGTTTCAATACCAAATGGCGGAGGCAGGCTGCTCGCGGCAGCGGCGGCGGCGGCGGCATGGAGGAGGAGGAAGACGACAAGAAGGATAAGAGGGACTAATGATTTTGTTGAGGCGGTAGACTTCCAAGCAAGCAATTAGTCTCGAAGAAATCGAAGACTCTTTTTGCCTTCCTCCTCCAGATTCATTGACTTCGACTGAAACTTGACGCTCTTACTGAGTTCCCTTGGCTGCCTTAGCGGTTCCCTTTTCTTTTCCTTTTTTGAACTATGCAAACGGATAGAAAGGTGATTTCGTGGTAAAATTTAATCCCAAAAAGTCCCTTGGATTTCAAGGTATTAATTTGAGATTTTCATATTCCAGAGAGATTTTTTATGCAATACATATTAGGTCTTTTTTTGGGGGGGGGGTAAGATTTGTAAAATGGACTTGTCCATCTTTAAATGTAACAATAATTTATGGCCCAAAAAATGTAACACTAATTTTACAATATAAAAAATATGATCACTGAATTTATTATTGTAAAAATTTTACAGAATAAATTAAAAATTACCCCGGGGGGGGAGAATATATGGTGCAAACTCACATCAAATCAAACACTACAAAATATCGTGATGGTTTGCACAAAGGAATCAGTCCCATTTTTCCTAAGTGTTGATCTGCATGGGTAGAGTTAGACGGATTTTCCCAAAAATAAAAGGTTACATACGATACCACGGCGTCAAAGACATTGTGAATTTGTGAGGGTAAAACGCTAAGCTTTCCTCTCATTAATAAAAAACCCACTAAGCTATCAGCACCTAGTCATAAGTTCGCTTGGATACTTTGAAATGGCCCAATAGTAATAGTAGTAGGTAAGAGTTGAAGTCTTTTTTGTGGGTCCAATCTGAAATTCAGTCATAAAACTGAAGCAGAAAAATACAAAGGAACTAAATGCAAAAAACAGAGAGTAACCAGAGTTCAAGACTTCAAATGATCGAATAAGTGATGGACTGCGATGATAGTGGGGCCTCAAAGATGTGACAGCTCGGCAATAGTTACTCGCTAGGTGCTTCTCTCAAATTCCTTTCAACAAGTGTGTTAAAAACATCAACTTCTTTTCTTTAGGTTTCATCTTAAAATATTCACCATTTTACCATACCCTTTTTTTTTTAACACACACACGTGGATGGACTAGAGGAGTTTCTTTTCGCCTGAGCCATGGGATTGCAAGTTGCAACGCCTTCTTTACATGCATGCTCTCAAGCGGGTTGTCGGGAAGTAAAGGGACTTAAAGAGAATTTTAGCTATATAAACAAGTATACTGCATGTACTAATATATTAGCTTTTTAGATAAAGAGTAATAATCCTGTGACAAAGTAATATTAGAGTCAGACCCGAGTTTGCCCAGTCGGTGGGCCCCTCTGGTGGGCCACCAGTGACAGAGGCATCACGGATTGGCCGGGAGAGTTGTCAGGATGTGGAGGGACTTGAGGAGGGTCTTGATTATATAAGTAGGTGCGCTACACGCCCTAACAGGTTAGCTTTTTGGGGAGAAAATAATGGCCCCGTGACAGGGTGCTTTGCAAACTGATATGGGAACCGTCAAGTAGAGTCAAAAATTTGAATGGACAAGATTTATTCAGGCTCAATTTAAATACATTTGACTCAAATAAACTTGAATTTGAATAAATTTGATTCTCTAAAAAAACTTGAATAGTCAAGCTCGATTAGAATTTTTTCGAGCTTTGGGTAGCTTGAATATCTGAATTTTATTTTTAAATTAATTTTAATGAATTTTTTACTTTAAAATTAATTTTTTATTTATAAATAAAATGGCATAAAATTTAAATAATTAATTAATATTTATTATATATTATATATTTTTTAAAAATAAAATTGTTTATTTGAGTATTTAAATCAAACCCGAACTTGATCGCCCGAATTTTTTTGAGCCTATTCGAATATAAAAAATATGTTTTTTTAAGCCTGACTTTAAATTTTTTCTAATGAATTTGGATTAATTTGTTAGACTTAACTTAAATTATCGGCTCTACTATCAATTATGAATCCATTGTGGGTCTAAACATTTTACTTTGGACACTGGCAGCAATAAATATTTAACAATATCAATAGACATTGTTGTGAGTTTCCATATTTTTTAAAACATTAAATGATTTCCTTATTTTCAACACTAAAACATCTCTCTTCATATTATTACTAATGCGACCAGAAATACAAATTTTTATTACCAATACGGCTTTATTACACCAGTTATCAATTTACCATACACATTGTATATATGCAAAAAAGGTCTAAGGCTTTTCCACAGGACTCAAATCGCCATGAACATCTAAAATGTCTTGGACAAAAGCATCAAGGTTCATGTTAAAGGAACCACCTTTGGCAATCGCTCCCCGAAACAAGGGCTTGAGTTCTTTTGCCTTGTCTCTTATCTTTTTTCCTTCTTTGCTCTCAAGATCCATCACCATCTCAAGCACTTGCACTATTTCTTCTTTTGTTACAAAGCTCTCTGATCTCTCACCACCCACCTTCCATCCATTCTTCCACTCTTCTGCAATATGCCGGCAATTCGAGAACTGATCCAGAAATATTGGAAATCCCAAGATTGGCACGGCAGCAAAGCAAGCTTCCACAGTTGAATTCCATCCACCATGGCTCCAAAACCCCACTATAGAACCATGGCACAACACTTTCAACTGGTCACACCATGGCACCACCAGTCCCTTATCCCCACATTTCTCTCTCAGCCACTCGGCCTCTGAACGACACGCCCACAGAAAACGAATCCCACTGCCTTTCAAGGCTGAAGCAAGTTCTTCCATCTGGGGACGAGACATTGAGAGGAAGCTGCCCACAGATATGTACAAGACTGACATATTCGGCTGAAAATCCAGCCACTTTATTATATGGTCAGAGTCGGTCGTTGAAGAATCACTCGAAGGTTCAAGTTCCAGAAACGGTATGGCAGGGCCTACAGGATAGAGATGAAATGAGAATTTAGATTTTATATAATTTATTTGCTCAGATTCTAGCTCTTGAGTAGTGTTGAGCAAGAGATAATCTGTTTTGGCTATTTCTGAAATGCAACCCAAGCCAATCTTCAAAACTGTGGGATCCAATTCTTGAAGTAGTTTTCGAACATCAGTGAGCTGTGACGAAGATATGTGCTCATCAGCTTCCTCGTCTGCATCACTAAGTCGTCATCAATGAACTTAAAAAGTTTAAAGTCCTACTCTACTGTTTAGTTAAACATGACAAATCACAAAATATAATGTTAGGTGATAGTATCACAGGGGATGATGACAAAACTAAACCTATGAAATACTCTTATTTTCTTATTTACATTATAGGAAGAAAGCATTACTTTTTATTTCATAGGGTATTTTACAATTTTTTATATTTATTTTTATCTTTATTAAATATTAAAAAATTATTAAAAATATTTTTTATTTTTATTAGGGGATAGAAGTAGAAATTTATTAAATTTTAAGATAAAATTAGTAAAATTTAAGATTGCATTTGATTATAATAAAACATGTTGACTTATAAAAAGAATCAAATGGAGTATTAAATAGTACTCCTCCTGATCGAAAATATAAGAACTTTTCTCCAATTAATCTTAATTTAAAATATAAGCAACTTAATATCTATAAAATTTTTCCCCTTGTAATTATTAACTCAAACACATATATAAATTTATATTTCACTCATCATGAAATACAATAGTAATTGAAATTCATAATTAAAAAATAATATATATTTTTATATTTACATGAGTATGAGAATTTTATGGTTATACAAATATTTTTTTAAAAACTCCCTGTATTTTGCACCGAAATGAGTAACGCCGGCGACGCCAAAAATAATGAAACGAGTGTCGTGTAGGATACGTTACCCAAAAGATCAGCCGCCAAGCGCCGGCCAGAGGCCAACATGTAATCCAGCTGAAGATACGTGCAGAAGAATGACGCCGACATCGTCCACAACAGAGCCACGGGTATATTCCTCTTATGTGCAACGGAGGTTGGCCACACCAGCTCAACATCAGCGACGATAGCAGTCACCGGCGGGTTGAGCTGATCTAGTAGCTGCTCGAACGCATCCCTCATCTTCGTGACGATGGCTTGCGAGAAGCGACAAATATCGTCAAGTATCTGGCTCTCCAGGGGGATGACGTTGGGGATGGTGGCGTAGCGAATAGTATGCGGCTTTGGGTAAGATTCGATGTAGCTGAGCCACTCTTCAGTGACGACGAATGTGATGATAACATCGGAAGTTCTTGAAGCGAGAAATTTGCAGAGGTTCATCATGGGGTTCACGTGGCCTCTGGTGGGGAAAGGCACGGCCACCACATGCTTCTTCAAGCACGGTGGAGCTTCCATGGACACACACACACACAGAGAAACTAGTGAAGCTTGGGTTATGAGACAATATATAATATAGATTATAGAATATGGCGTCTCCGGAAGTCAGTGGACACGTTATTACTAGAGTCCTTAATCATCAATTTTCTCAAGATAATTGTCGTTGACCATCGCTCATGTTTTGATACTGATGAGCAAAATTAAATCTACAATAGTCGAAAATATCAATGCTTAGGTCACATATGGATCTGGAATAGACATAGATGACATAATGATGCGAACAGAAAATGCAATGGAAAGAGAAAAAGAACCAATTCAGATCTCAGGGAACATTATTTATAATTTTATATGTATGTTGATATTGGTTTTTTTTTTTACATTTAAAAAATTTCAGTCAATTTTGTTTCTGGGCAAGAAGCATCTGATTAAAATTTCATTAAACACTTAACCGCCGCTCATTTTAAATGTATCTCGTTTTTTAATTTTATTATACATATTAAAAAATAATCAAACAAAATGTATCATTTTTCTATCCAGGAAAAAAAAAACTTCACCAATGTTTTACCAGAAAAGTTACAACTATTGGAAAAACCTACATGTACGTCCACAATTTTTTGTTCTTTGTTTTGTTTTGATAATACCCAAATGCAACAATAAAATAGTTTGGTGGCGCGTCATGACCAAATCAAGTCTTGACTTTAAATAAATTAGACTGGGGGCATATATTTTATATGATGAGTTGCACTCTTTACTTTGTATGGTTGATGTGTATATATATATATATAGATTCTCCTATCAAGACCGTATATATTTTTAGAAAATATATACTTAACGGGGCCGACGATATTAAATTATTGACTAACATGGGTAAAATTGCAATTTAAATAATATTCTTTTATTCTGCCCTGCCTTGATATTGTGATTTTTTTTTTTTGGCCGAAGGGGAAAAAAGTGATATTATGAGTTTATGACCGGATTAAGCCAAATCTTTCGTGCAGCTGCAGCGAGCCAACTAAATTGCGCCCCCCTGGTTTGACCAAGAAATGCAAGGGGAAGCGGGGAACAACGGCATATATGTGCGTGAAGAATATTTAATGCACTCCTTGACTCATCATTTTTCAGCTTCATAATAGCCAATTAGCAATCACGTAATTATAAATGAAGTTCATGAATTAATAAGCATCCGTATGAGAATTTCCAGGCCGTTTTGGGTGCTTAGTATTCTTAATTTCAATTTCAATATCACTCATTTATATGAATAGTAAATAATAAATGTGAGCTATGTGTGTTAACCATAGTTAGTTAATTCGTTGAAAATAACGCCTCTATGAAGACGAAACCAAAAACTGAACCAAATTAAATTATAAATTTGGTCTATTCGATTATACACTTTCATTTGATTTGCAAATTTCAAAATCAAATCGATTAAGCAAATTAAATTATTTATATTTTTTTGTCCACTCATATATCTTCTTTTCATTGTGTTTTGCTGATTTTTGTTCTCATTTTTGCTTCCTGCATAATTTTTAATACATATGCATAGCATAGGTAACGAAGTAGAAATGGTCATTCTCATTTTGCAAGCCCATTTTAACATATGCATATGTGTGTGCGGCAAGGTACGTTGAACCGGACCGGTCAAACCGATCATGGCATTAGGTCATGAGTTAGTGGTTCAATTGGAGTTGAATCTGTGGCAAACTAGTCATGATTAAAATAATATAATTTAAATAAAAAGACATTAATTATAAAAACATTTAACCAAATCCAACCACTCAAAAGTCTAAGTATAATAAAATACTATATTTTTGGACTTAGCATGCTCTGCCTCTGATTTTTTATTTTTTGACTTCAATTTCACATTTTTTATCTTATTTTCAAATTTAGAGCTCTAAAAAATTAAAAATAAAAAAAAAATAAAAAACGACGTCATTTCAAGGGTAAAAGTTTGAAAAAATAATAACCCGATTAACTCGGTCAACCCGATGGGTTGATCGGGTTATATCGGGTTGAACCTGGGTTGACCGAGTTACACCGGTTCACTCCCTCACCAAGTTAAGGGTAAACCCAGACTGGATAAGAGATCGGGTCACCGGTTTTCGAGTTGACCCGACCGATCTGATTCAATTTTCAATACCATAGTGTGTGGGGTTTGAAATATCTATAACTGCCAATCGGTAAGGCATTTATCAATATATTCTTTTGGACAAAACAATAGATATAATATAGTTCTAAATAACTCATTACGAGCTCAATAACTTAATTAATTGATCAAATCGACCTATCAAAACTCTTGTTCAATTATATTTCAGTCTCGTCTGATTCAAATAATCACCATTGTTTGGTTGATTGGTTTTATGCATTTTTACACCAAACTCAACGGAACCAAACCCACCTCTACCTCTATGTATGCTTACCAAACATACATTCCTTTACTATATTCAGTTTTTTGTCCGAGGACTAAAAATGCAGTTGTATATATAAGAAATTAGATTATAAAGCTAGAGACCACATTAAAAATGCAATAATCTTCATCCGAGATATGTCGGTTTTTCTGTTTTTCCTTGTACACCTCAACCATTTATTAAATAATGATTACACAAGAAGACATTATTGTGCCTAAGAAGTGGACCAATGGTTCTGATGAACAGAATCAGAGGAAGCGCCTACAATGTCTTCCACAAAAGCGTCCAGATTCTTCACAAGGGAACCACCTTTGGCAATGGCTCCGCGACACAAGATCTTAAGCTGTCTTGCCTTGTCTCTTATTTCCTTCCCCTCTTCACTCTCTGCGTCCATCGCCATCCCAAGCGCTTTCAATATCTCTTCTTTCTTCAGTAACTCCTCCGATCCCTCACCACCCACCTTCCACCCATTCTTCCATTCTTCCACGATTTGCCTGCAATTCGAGAACTGATCCAGAAAGAAAGGATATCCCAGGATCGGCACGCCGGCAAAGCAAGCTTCCACAGTTGAATTCCATCCACCATGACTCCAAAAACCCACTATAGACCTGTGGCACAAAACTTTCAACTGGTCACACCATGGCACGACCAGTCCCTTATCCCCACATTTCTCTTTCAGCCACGCTGCATCTGAACGACACGCCCATAGAAACTGAATCTCACTGGTTTTTAAAGCTGAAGCCAGTTCTTCCATCTGGGGGCGAGACATGGAAAACAAACTACCCATAGAGATGTACAGTACCGACATCTTCGGCTGACAATCTAGCCACTTCATTACATGCTCAGAGTCGGTCGCTGATGAGTCGCTTGGTGGTTCGAGTTCTGTAAATGGTATGGCAGGGCCAACAGGATAGATTCGGAAGGGGAATTTAGCTTTCAGAAAATTTATTTCCTCAGCCTCAAGCTCTTGGATCGTATTGAGGAGGAGATAATCTGTTTTGGCTACTGGTGGAATGCAATCCAAGGCTCTCTTGAAAACTCCAAAATCCTTTTCGTGAACTAGCTTCCGAAGATTAATGGGTTGTTGTGAGGAAGAGCTTCCCTGAATTTGCTCAGCTTGCTTATCTGCATCACCAACTCGTTATCAATGAAGTCAAAAGCTTCAAGTCCTAAACTATGGTTTAGATTAACATTACAGTCAAAAAATATAATAATAATAATTGACGGTGACAACGAGTTTTCTTTTTATCTTTTCTTTCTTTTTTGTTTCAATGAAACATGTGCCGTGTGGAATATACATTATCGGACCCGGTAGTGTGCACGTCGTGGTGTTCATCATTCTGATAAAATCTGAATCATTTAAATTTTAATTTAAATAATTTAAATTTTAATTTAAATAATTTAAATTTTAATTTAAATAATTTAAATTTTAATTTATGTAAAATACATTTAAATAGTTAATATAATAATTATAAAATTTTAATATTAAATTTAATTTTTTAAATTAAATCTAAATCGTATTAAAAATAAAAAAATTATTAAAATTATTTTATATTTTTATATTTTTATTTTATTAAATATATATATAATAATGTTTTAAATTTATATTATCTAAATTAAAATTTAAACGGTCCAGATCTCGTTTCAGTAATGAACGTACCAAACCCATTCCATACATTACCTAGAAGATCAACCGTCAAACGCCGGTCAGGAGCAGGGGCCAGGATATCCAGCTGACGGTACGTGCAGAAGAACGACGCCGACATGGTCCATAACAGAGCAACCGGAATATTCCTCTGATTTGCCACGGCAGTCGGCCACGTCAATTCAACATCGGTGACGATGACAGTCGGCGGCTCAATTAGCTGATGATCGAGTAGCTCTTCGAATGCAGCTCTCATCTTCGTCCTGACAGATACAGAGAAGAGAGGCATGTCGTCGAGTATCTTGGTCTCGAAAGGGACGACGTTAGGGATGGTGGCGAAGCGAATAGTAGGTGGCTTGGGGTAAGATCCGATGTGGCTGAGCCACTCTTGGGTGACGACGAAGGTGATGGTAACATCGGTGGTTCTTGAAACGAGAAATTTGCAGAGGTTCATCATGGGGTTAACGTGGCCTGTGGTGGGGAAAGGCAGGGCCACCACATGCCCCTTCAAGCGCGTCGGAACTTGGCTGGACATATCCACAAAAGCTTGTGACATTCTCGGACGACGATGAACCAATATATAAAAAAAAGCTGAGGTTGACCAACAGTATGGCGTTTCCGCCAAGTCATTGGGCAGCGAGCGAGGGACCGACCCGGGTTCACATGGCGTGGGGCACCATCATCAGCGTCTTTCGCCAATTTTCTTAAGATAATTGTCGTTGAGATTGACCATCGTTCTTGTTTTTATAAAGGTTAGCAAAATTAAATATGTAGTATCAGAAAATCAACGCATTTGGTACATCATGAAGTAGATGCTAACACTTGTGTCAAAAGAGATCTATCTCAATTAGATATAGATGACATAATGATACTATCACAAAATGAAAAAGAAAATCATTACAGATCTCCGATAACTTCATTTATTTCAAGCCCTGGAAGAACCAAGATCGCTTCTACATTTCTTAGAGATTATCCTTGCATGTTTAACGGCTCACTTAGAAATGTCTCGTAAAAATGAATCTAGATTCCCATCAGATGATCCACCTTTTGAAATGGCTTGAACACAGAGACTCTTTAGCTCTCTTGCTCTGTCTCTTATTTGCTTCCTTCCCTGCTTTCAAGATCCATGAATCTCCTCACTAGCTCTGATATGTCTTCTTTTCCCACAAACATTTCACCGATCTCCGACTCTGATCTATCTATTTTCCAACCATTCTTCCAGTCATTCACAATTTGACTTGTGTTGGGAACTTGATCCAGAATAGAGGAAAAGTCAGGAGCGGCACACCAGAAAACAGAGCTTCAAGAATGGAGTTCCATCCACAGTGGCTCCAAAAACCACCTATAGAAGAATGAGACAACACCTTCAATTGGTCACACCACCACCATGCCCTTATCACCACAATTTTCCTGCAACCTTGAAGCTTCCCCACGAGCCACACAGAAGAACGGAATGCCACTTGTGTTGAGTGCTGAAACAATTTCGTCCATCTGGGCACTAGAAACTGAGAGGAGGAACTACCCAGAGAAATGTATAGTACTGATTCATGTGGCTGAGAATCTAGCCATTTTAGATGCTCAAGGTTGTGATCAGAATTAGGCTTGAGTTCTGAGTACGGTATAGTGGGGCAACAGGGTAGACAGGGAAGGGGAATGTAGCTTTCAGAGAATCAATTGCTTCAGGTTCTAGCTCATGTACTGTGGTGAGCAGAAGAAAATTTGCTTTGGGAACTTTTGATATACAATCCAATGCAAGCTGAAGAACTCGTTGGTTGTTTTCATTAATTACTGTTCGAAGATCTGCCATATGAGCCGAAGAAATTCCGGGCACGTGATCTGCTTCAACATCTTTTTTCTCAGTCATAACAACGCATATCAGGTCATACATGCGCTACTGATAATTTGACTGAACTATGAAAGTTTTTGTTATTAATTAAAATTGTACAGAAGAATGTCTATGAGAACTTCTCAGCAATCCTTATTATGAGCTAATAAGAGAGTTTGAAGAAGGATTGGGAGACTAATGACCATTGTACAAGTACTCATCGTGTTGCTCATTGGTTGAGACATTTCACTTGATTGGGATCATTCACACATTATATAGGTAAAATCAGATATAACGTATACAATATTAGTAATAATTTACTTCCCCAATTATCTTGCCTCGATGTTCTGCTACTTTCATTGATTTCAAAATATAGCACACTCGTGCTGTAAAGTGTTAGTGCTTTGTGACCCCAAATAATTTTTACGTCTGGATCCAAATAAACTTATAATTAGATTTTTTTTTCAATAAAAATGATTAGAAAAATGTTAAATCTGGAAATTATTACGAAGATGTTAGAAAAAAGTCGGAGTCACCTACAAATCTGCAGCTCACTTCAAATATTCCCGATTAATGCCTAGAATTCCCAAGAATTTTTTTTCCCGATGGATATATAAAATATAATATAAATTGTCAAAGTTCGGAATGTAATTTAAGAAGAGACCAGTGGTCTCGTTTATTTACCTGACGATCGACAGAAAACGGTCGGTTACGTGTGAAAATCTGCAGGTGATGTAACATGGAGTAAAACGAAGCCGACATCGTCCATA